TCTACTCATTTTTATATCACACAGGAACAAAAACCTGTCTCCCTTGAGGGCGCTCCATGCAGCCCCTGTAACTTCAGCAGTATTTGTAGATTTTTTGATTGAATACTGTTGAGTTGTAGTTTTACCAAGCAAAAACATACTTTTAATAATTGTAAGATCGTTTCTTCACTTGATAATACCCAAAAGGCGGTGCTCATTGGGGCATAACACGTTTTTGGAAATAAACCTCTTTCAGGAGTGACCATCATTGAAACATACATGTATAGCATGGTAGTGCTTACACACCCTATATGCTGAAAACTTGTTGGAAATATTCAAATTAAACTATTTTTAATTTTAGTATTTTTGCACCATTTTATTTCGTATCATTTGCGATCGTAAGTTAGTTGATGAGATCTCTGGGCACATTACATTAAATGAGAGAAATATTATAATGGGTGATTCCTTTGGGGATCACTGTGTGGCGTTGTAACAGAAAGGAGGCTGGGAATAGATTAAAAACTCCAGAAATCCATGGTACATGTATAAATGTTCATGTATGAATCAACAGGATGTCGGCCAACTCAACCGTACGCTGAGAGAACTCGACCGGAGGATGGCAAATGGTCAAGTTAATTGTCAGGACCCCACTCAACGAAATCCCTACTTGTTGTATTGAAACTTGTAATCCGCTGAAATTAGGTGATATTCAAAGTTTCAGCGATTGAATCTCGAGATACATCGGATACATGATTCCTCACAGCGGCCCCATCCCATCCATTACAAATAGAAATTTTCCGAAAAGAAGAACCAAATTTTTTGTCTAGTGACCCGTAGTGATTTTTGTGTCCCCTTAAAACTCATCAACTTATGTATTTTATCTTATATAATATTTGTTAAATTGTCCTTGTTTCAGTAATGTTTTAATTTCAATTTTAATATATTAATAATACTGTAATTTTCCTTTAAGTCAGTTTTATTGTAAATCATGTACAATTAGGCAAACGGCCACGACACGAGTTGAAACCCCAAAATTAAATAAATAAATCAGGATATGGACGCTTTTGGACCACGTCGATGCATGGGCGTTACCAAAATATTTACCAGTGGGAGCGGAGCACGTCGATGGTCAACGTGAAAGCAAGAGAAGGCCTACATGACACAGTTAAAACAATATTTCCCAACTGAAACAGATCAAATTCCCAGTAATTACATTTCTGGATTTTGATCCTATTGATTAATTAAAGTGAGTATTATGGTTCTACATAACATAAATAAATCCCGCGTTTAGATTTTAGAAACATACCTCTTTTTCTAATTTGTCGATCTGTTGGAGAAGTTCAAAATTCCTGGCTCTAGTGCTATTGAGTTCCTTTTCCTTCTCTTCAAGGGAAGCCTTCAGAGCCTCTCTATCTTTGAGTAAGAGAACAAATTCGGAAGTTTTCTGTGAGCGAGTGGGATCCACTGTCTGGTCCGGCTGGGCACCGTTTACTTCAGCCGTGTCGCCCATATTGTTCTGTCTCGCCTGTGACTTGATTCTCTGAAGCCTAGAGGTCTTCCCTGTTTGTGAGAAAGTAACAAGTGCTGGTCCTGGTTGTCAACTGGTTATAGTCCTCGCAGTGGGCAAACAACCCTCTGTATAAACTCCAATCATGTGAATATAATCGATACAAAAGAATATGTATAACTCTTCTGTGAAGTTTGATGACAACGATCAACAGTTTACTTGACAAATGAAAGAGCACTGATGGCAAACGCGAAGCATAGCATCATACAACTGTAGTTGCTAGGCCCATCGCACGGTTGCTATCACCTGTCACCGTATTTTGAGCCGTCTACATAAAGCTGTATTCGGCTTTTCACTGTGGTCAAAGGAGTGACGTGCTGTTGTTGGGATTATTGACTTAACAAAGGGAAGAGATCCACAGTTTACATATGATGAATAGGCAATAATCTACTCTATCGAGTATTGCCCTTTATTCCTTTCGTGACGTCATTAAAGTAAACAAAACCAGTGAAGGCCGTGCACCAAATGGAGTTGGAAGGTCACAGTATTATGCTGTAGAGCTGAAGTTGCAAATGGGAAAGCTTCAGCCGGGTGTCAGTCCCTTAGCTCATTTATATACAAATGTAGTCGGCTTATCTTTTTATGAACTAAACGAGATTATTTGGGAATGATGTGCTCTCAGCCTAAGTTTTTGAGATGCGGTCTACATGCACGCTGTTCGTTAATATTAACGTTGTAGGGGAAAACAGAATCAATCAAAAGTCGATGAAAGTTTCTTCTAAATTAAAATTACAATTATTTTACTTCATTTTTGAAATTCAACTTTGATACTAACATGGAGCTACTTTCTCACGAGGATGCTTTGCTCTCTTTCAGTTCTCTGTTTCTTGTATGTTTTTATTATTTTTGATCTCTTCCGTCATAAAATGCTTGGCAACGGTTTACTTCACACACCGACGAACTTTAGGGAGTAAGGCTTTAGGTTCTTGTTGCTGTGTCGTCTTCCCTCTCAAGATTGTTTGGAGTCCTCGGTTTTTACAAGCTGAGGCTGAGGATCGCTTTCCCATCTACACGCACCTCGCCGGGCCTCGATCGGTTCGATTGAGTCGCCACGGCAGCCCTTCCGCGGACGGAGGTTTTATAACTGGGCCATGGCTGTGACAAGAGGTCGTGTATGATGCGGTATATACGCCATGTTGTTTCCCACTCCTATTGTAGATTATTTTCATTATTGGAGATTTGCAATTGTATATAGGTTTGCATGAATCGAATGGAAAGTGGCTGCGATGTAATAATTCTTCAAGGTGGCATTATAAACGACAGATGGACGCAGGACGAAGTTCGACGATTGACATTTGCCGCGTAAACACCCAGGTGGACTTCAGAATTAAATAGCTGCTAATCTAAGGTGCAAACTGTCACAGGTCTTTCATAAATTATGGTTCTGGGATGTGGTATATGATCTGTGTTCAGGCCAACTTAAAGGCCATATCAGGCCATATCAATGGAATCAATGTGCCAGTAGGGAAGTCGCGATTGCTGTTGGGGGCGATCGAAATTAATAAGTTGGCGCAAGGCAAGACTTGGGGGCGCACTTCATAAATTCCATTCTGCCGACTCGCAAGCCATACAGACTTCCGGAGCGACGTGTACAAGTCTATCGTTAAAAACACTTCATTATTAGGCTTAGTGATTCGTGCGTTCAGACAACAGAACATTAGTCGCGAAAACTAGAATCCCATCTCTTTCTGGCTTAACCCAAGTCTTTCTGGACATAAAATTGGCACAGGATCGTAGCTATGTAATAGTTTCACGTGAACTCCCTCCATTTTGTTTTTTTTTCGAATGGCAAATGGTCGGTAAAAGACAGTATTTCAGCGGTGTGTTGTGGTCACCAAGTTGCCAGTCAGCCGGGTTCGTGTCGCCTAGGCCTATACCTTGTTACGCATCGTCTGCGTGTCACGACTGAACTAGACTGCGTGGCGTTCATTGACTGAACAACGAAGTCATCGTCTCGGAACTCCACAAAGTGATAGGTTAGCGGGCCTTTGTTTGCCCACATTTCAGTCATGAATACTTTTATAACAGGAATGTTGGTCATGTCGGGATTTGTTGTAGTCTGACTGCAGCGCTCTTTGTCTGACAGCAGTTTAGTTTTTTGCCTTTTCTCACTTTTCGAAATGTTCGTTCATTTTGTCTGCCTGTTTCCTTGTTGAGCGCTTGTGCCATTCAATGGAAAATGTTTTTCCATACTTGTAGGACTCTTAGTCTTCTACTGACACATCACAAGCTTTGTGTCTCAATACTTGATGTGACAATTGACATGGTTGATGAAATGATAGTGGAATATTTTGCTATTTGTAAACTGTTCATGTACTATAGTAGAGAGAATTATAATCTCGTATTGGTATGTGCATGTAAACTGGTACATGTACATGAACACTGTACGCTGTTCCAATTTTGAAAGGAGTACATGTTTGTCTTCCTTGCATTTTTCTTGTGTTGAATTTCAGTTTCTAATAAGTAAATACTTGTAAATGTACGTTAGTGTTTGCAGATACATGTACGTATATCCCTGCGGTCATGTTGTTTAGTGTCAACAAGCGTCAACACACATAAGTGGCGTCAACAAAGCGTCGACAACTTGAAAATACCCTCCACAGATTTAAAAGGGGTTTTATTACATTTTAGAGACTCTATCACTTGCCATTGTATAAGAGAAACACTGAACTTGCCTCCAGATTCTCGCATGAAAACAAAAATTGTTCGCGATGTATGGGGGCCGTCATCTTTCTTTCCTCTGCTGTCCACGCGAAAACAAGATGACGGCCGGTTGGACTGTAGTCCCAACTTAGTCACTCAAATTTCAACATTCAAATATCATTTCAGATAGATATGATACATTGAATTTGATATGTACAGTAGGAGCCTAATTAACATTTATAAAAAATCTTTGCATAAATATGATTGAATAACTTGTTAACGTTTTGTTGACGCTTGTTGACGCTAAATAGCGTGACCTAGATCGCAGTGCTTTGTACACTGCACAAATGCATGTACATAGGCCCTAACATAAAAGCCAGAATTTGTGAAGTGGCTAAAATTGTAATTAAATAAAGGAAATGGATTTGCAGCACATACATGTACAGGTTCTTCTATTAAATCCAAATTTTAGGGTATCATTTTTGTCATAACTAACAGTGGCACTGGATACTTTGTGCTCATTATCCTAATGCATCATACTCATATATACATGTAAAGTATGTACAGCAGGTGTGCCAAAAGTTTAGCACGTACATGTACATGTATGCTTACTAGTCATTCTGTTATGCCATCAACAAGCATTGGTCCCAATTGGGATTATAGTCCACAACTGAGTCTGCAAAGGAGAGAGATGGGGACCATTTGAATGCGATACCAGGCATAAATGCTTGCACCGTAGGATCCAATGGGTTGTACATGCTCAGCATGACCTACCATTGTGTCCAAGCACATGAACCTGTACAGTACATGTACCCATGGGTTTGTCCCCACCAGAGGTGTTGTGGCTACAGCGTAAAAAAACATCATAAAAGAAACTCAGAATCATCCCAACTGTAGTTGGGACTGATGCAAGACGTGGTCCCTGTACTAGGGATGTAGTATGATGCAGACTTAACAGGCAATGACTAACCTGAACCCCCACTGTTTTGTTTCTTGGACACAGGTGATTTTCATGGGAATAGTCCAAGATGGCCGATGTGGACCCAGAGACATTACTGGAATGGTTACAGATGGGCCAAGGAGAAGAGCGAGACATGCAACTCATAGCCTTAGAACAACTTTGCATGTTGCTGCTTATGTCTGACAATGTTGACCGATGCTTTGAAAGGTAAACACTTGAGAAAATTCTTAGTTGTGAAGTGTTGGTCCCATTTACATTCCAACCCATGTTGTACAAGTGACATGCCAGTAACATGCATTATTAAAGCAGTAACTTGTACATATTGTATATTGGTATTTCAGTGCAAATGTTGTTCATTAGAAGTAAGAAAAATATTCATAGCAGATCTCCATTTTGTTGTACCAGCCTTGTTGATAGTGACTTGTAACTGGATAAGAAGGAAGTTTGAAGGAAGCTACTAGGAAATGATCCGACAATATGTTTTGAAGAATCAAAGAAACTGTTGAGTTTCTGAAAACACTAACATTGACATTGGCATTGTTTTTTGTACACGTTGCATTCTCAAAAACCAAAACTTCAAAAACCTGGATAATTGCACAGTCATTCTGTAGAAATGATGATTATCGTTGTAGTAATCAGGAAGCCACCCCAATAAACAGAGGAAGTGGGTCATTACTGAAGCATTACTGGCTATTACTTCTGTTAAAAATATTCCATTCAGAATCCAATCCATTCACGTGTTCCACTCTGGTTACATGTACTACACTGTGAAGTTCCTGATTTCTTTTACTTTGAAGTACATGTACCAAAGTTCATGATTTGAAATGTATTGAAAAATACGTGTATTCCACAAACCAAATGCAGAAGTTTTTTTTATCAGGTAGCAAACAGGAATTCTAGGAAACAAGTCATGACCCAATGCACGTACAGGTACATGTACATGTAAGAATGATGTATCTTCATTGTGCCTTCTTGATACATGTGCCTTGCGTGACTCAGGGTGGGAATTAATGTTCAAATTGAAAAACATTGAACAATACATGTACATGCACAAGAACTTTACCATTTAAACGTTCAGCCAACACTTGACGGAGGCCATCGCCGATTACATTGTACTTCAGTGTACATGTACATGTACCGGAAGATACACTGTACATGTATGCTTAGTTCAACAATGCACCTGGTCCAGCCTATGTAAAAAGGTAAATGTACATGTAGATTGATATTTGGGGCATTTAAAACAATCAATGTTTTTTGTTTTAGAATCCACTTTTATTTTTTCATAAAGTACATGTACATGGATGCCGAAAGGGAAAAGAAATACGTAAAATTAATGCCAGAATCCATCAATCAAAACGTCAAACCTCTAAAAGGGGCGGTTCCGTTTAAACGTTCGGGAAAGTCTGTAAATGGATTTGAAACTTTTTTCATTTAAACATGTAAATGCCCCACCCTTATGTCTGACCTTTCACCCCTCCATTGCAAGGAGAGTGCCTTCCACTAGTTTAATGCTACACTGTATGACCTGAAGGAAAGTGTGAGGAAGGGGCTCTGTCTATATACCGGTACCTACCTGTATGTACATGTACATTACATGCATGTCTCATGCAGCCAGGCTTTTGGAGTGTTCTCCATGCAGGGTGTTTGAACCAGTTTACATGTACATTCGTGCAACATGTTCTCAGTTGGAACTTGTCAGATCATGGGACTTTAGCATTATCAACACTAAAAGGACCTGAGTGACTCTGTTTTGTGGTTAGGATTTAGTTAACTAAGAGGCCACTGCATTGTTCTAATAAAATGCATTGTGCACATGAACAGGTGCATACATACATGAACATGTACATTACATGCATATAGTACATCAGCTATCCCCCAAAATCATTGTACAACGTGTATTTGGTGACATATAAGACTTGAAGGTTTTCATGGTGAAAGAAACTAGATTTATAGTAAAGATTGCGGTAACACCATGTATTTATCTCTTCTTTGAGTATGTGTGGTTCTGAGAAGAGTTATTCCCCGGTTCTTCTCAGAACCACACATACTCAAAGAAGAGATAAATACGTGGTGTTACCGCAATCTTTACTATAAATGTATCTGGTGAACAGGTACATGTACGTGCATGTACTTGTACAGATTTATAATTTCACATGCATTTTTTAAGTGAAATTTTATGAATTAACACACATGTATTCAATACCAGTCACAGTCATTATGCCAGTCAATATTTTGTGAATGATTACAAGGTGAGTCATGAATATTATACAATTAGTATGGACTGAAAGAAGGGCATAGGTCAGCTGGAGAAGTCACTAGTCCGTGTACAGGTGCATACATGTACATGTACATACTGTACATGTACACTGTACATGCACTGTACAGTACTGGTATACATTGTATGTGTACATCATGTACATTGTGTTTTGTGTACTTGTTCTAAACTGTAAATTCCCGCTCTTTGAGGATCCTGGCTAGAATTCCACAGAGCATTCAAGGAAGTACATGTACTGTACATTGTACATCTACAGTAGGTCTACGGTGCATATAAAATGCATCACAGAGTACATGTACAGGTGTACCTGTACATGAAATGCCATAGTGTGCATTGTTTTCTTCTAATGCTAACACTCAGTTTCATAAAAATACACCTGTACAATTAGAGCACATGTACATGTACATATGTACATATACTGGTACAGCACATTGTACGTGTACCCATGTACATGTACTCTGTACCCAGTATGTATGTATGTAATTTGGTACATGTCCCATATATTGGTACATGTACAGTACATGTGCGTATGGTGCATTTTTAGCCATGCATAATTACAGCACAGAGTATGAAAACTTATCATGTCTGTCCGAACAAAATCAAAACTGCTCTGGCAAATCGTTTGACCAACATATCAATGACAGCTCTTAAAATGTCAACACAATATGTGGGATTATGGTGTCCGATTTATTATTACCGGTAGTTTTGTGTTACATGTACATTTACGTTGATTACACCCAAGGCATTCATCAGGGCTTATTGCTCATCACCGGCTGATGTCACCCAGTGCCATGCTTGTATGAACACTCAAGTGCACGTACATGAAATTGTCCCGTAATTCTTTGCGCATTGTAAAACGTACGTCATGCTGTCATCAAATGTTCAATTTCCTTGGTAACCCATGCATGACACCTAACCTGGGTACCAGGCAATATGGACCAATAGTGGTTGGCTGCGTTCATACGGTTCCTCCAGTTCAACCCGAGTGTGGTGCACGCACATCATATTTGTATATGTGCGATGGGAGTATACATGTACCTGTATCCTTGTTGACCTGCGGGTCTTAATTATTCCTGCTGAACACGGGTAGCTCGCTCAAACGCAGCCTTTAGTCATGGCTCAAACTTGCTCCGAGTTTGACTGTTTCCCGGTCCCCATAGTTTAAAAAAAATTGATAATGGGGTTGGGAACCCCAACTCTACCTTTTATATAATGTGGCAGATCGAAAGTTTGTAATTACAGAACAAAATTGATTGTGTTATGACATTTTGTCCGAGCATTTTTTTGGTCTAATTTTGCACTCTGCAGCATATACCAGTACAGTGTACATGTACGGTATGCACCTTGTTCAGTCACTCCAGACTTTCCAGTGACATTTGGACTAAGTACAGATTGATATGCACTAATTACACCAGCGTTACCAGGAGGTTTACACCCTCTTTGTCATGATTTGTGTGATTCAAGCCATGTCTGTACATTACAGGTACATGTACATGTACGTGAACATGTACATGTACATACACGACGAGAAGCATGCACATGTACGTCTCTAACTACAGTAACATACCGGTACGTTGAATTCCATGTTCATACTGGTTCATATGTACATGTAACATGCATAATAGTACATTGTACATGTATGTATGTGTAAATGTGCACACTACCAGTACAAGTTTATTTGAATCATGTCTTGCTGTTATGGAGATAACAGAGTAAGCGTGAATTGTGGATACTGGTGTGTGATACTGTACAACGTCAAACAGGGAGTCGGTAATTGAAGCCATCTGTAAACAGATTGTCTAACAACTGTTCAACAGAATACCGTTTTAATTCACCTGAATCAGCCCTAAATAAAGTAGAACTGACTGTTATATATGGTCATTTACTGGCTTGACACATGTGCAGTACATGTGCCCAGTTGGTCACCCATTTTTATAATATATTCGCAGCTAATGTATTACACCTACAGGAATGCAACATTACTAAGGGAATTGTTACAGGATTTGCTGGTTTTGAACAAACATGTTTATAATTGGCTAGAATCCTACACTTGAAATCGAGCCATTTGTAAGTCGTGTAACTCGTGTTTGTCATCCAGAACAATATGAGCCAACATGCTGCGTCGTTTGACAATTAATGCTGAGCCTGTGAACCATTGCCCGCAATCCAGCTTGCTGCTCTGATTCGGCCTGGATACAACAACGTGTGATGGTTGTGGGCTGTTAAGTACCGGGTTTCAGTGCACGCCTAACGACTTGATCAACCTGACCCTGGATGGATATTCATGAATTCCACCACTGCACTGCATATTCATATTCAATAGTACATACTGTGTAGCTCACACCACATAACAGACTCATAATTAATAATAATTTATTCATTTATAAAGCACAAATTTCATGTACATGTAGATATGTTCAAATGTGCTGTGCAATGAAGACATTAAGCGTGGAACAATGAATACATTTAAACATGGTTGAGCCGATGGCATACAAGGGCGTCTCGGGCAGCTGCCAAATGACCCATATTCACCAACATCAGTAAAGGGGAGACAGTAAGAAGTAGTTACAGTTTTAGAGGTGGGAGGAAAACCCCAAAGGAATATTCTGGGTAAAACCCTGGGAATCAGGTAGGGACTGAAAATGCAATCCACATGTGGACCGTGTTGGGAATCGAACCTGGGACCACAGAGGTGGATGGCGAGGAAAGAACTACCGGTACCTTGCCGACCTGACTCATCCATTTTCTATACATGTAGGGATGCCTATATTTGATCAGTGCTAGTTTCTTTCATACATGTATCTATTTACTATCTTTTTGGTAAAAAAATGATGCTTTTATGTTACGGGTAAATTATCTTTGTAGAATAAAGTAAACACCCTCTTCAAGGAACGAGACTGTGGTTGTTGCTGATAAATGTCCAACTGACCAATCAAACTGCCCCTAAAATAAATATTCATATAGTTGGGATTCTTAGCCATTCAGAATGCTCGGTCCAATTGTGGTAGCAAACCCCATATGTTGTGCACAAAAGGACTTGCAAATTGTTCAAGTCGGTAATTGGGCACTGCCGAACACGCATATTGGGGAGCGAGGTTGCATTGACTGTTCCCATGTGTTATTAAACGGCACATTAAACCACACTACTTGCGCATCACAGTAAAGGTGGACTACTTGTACACCCAGTCAATTACTGATTTGATTTCAAGTCCACTGGAAACCATGCTATTGGCATTGATTTGCAATATGGCTTTAATTCATGTACCAATACACTGCAGCTCCTGTACTGGGCCCCTTGCTAGTTTCTTGCTGTATCGTCCAAAGGCATATATTGATTCCCTTTATACTTACATGTATGTACATGTACACACTGTACCTTTAGTTTCCTTCCCAAACTCAAAACAAGTTGAAAATTTTGACAATTTTGTTCATCAAATGTTTCATCTTCATGCACTCGCACAGTATCCCGTTTCACTGAAAGTTCAACACATGGCTTTACACAGCATGTGATGCAGAACTAAGTAGTGCATGTACCAATGTAGTGGACTAAACTTTAGAAGTCCTGTAAGTGTGGACCATACCCATGGGCTTTGTGGTGTTTATTCTTCCAAGTGGAGTACAGGGGAAATGACACATTTCCATCAACATGATGCATTTTCTGTTGCCTAGTGTCATGTGTTTGTGTACATGGCTATTTATGTACTGGTGTGTGTCTGATCAAGTTCATGTGATTAGATTGGGCTGGCTTAAGATGAGGAGCAACCTTGTCCAAATAGTCCTAATTCCTTGCTATTTTTAACTTGACCTACTGTGCCTGAGCAGTTGTCCCTATACATCCACAGGATGAAGAGTGCATCATTGTGTGGGTTAAAGTTGGCAGGCCATGCAGTTGATGTGAATAGTCTTTCATGTATAGTATAGAGACATGAACACTCTTGAAACACGGTAGATCTGATAGGAATGAAGACCTCGCTTCTTATCTGCATTTACTGGTTTAGTACTGGAAGCAAATCACTGCAGTGTCTGTTTAGAATGTATGCACAAACCGGTAGGCGTACATGTGCATGTATGGTACATGTACACTGCAAATGAATAGGATAATTTGGGTTTTGTTTGCAGAGTAGATTTCCTTCTGTACAAGTTTTAAAAAGTTTTTAAAAAGTGCATTGATGAAACTTTACGTATGAGAATGAGGTGTACTCTGTGCCATTAAAATTGTACCAGCACAAAATGAAATTTAGGACAGTTTGGTTAGCTATGGGTTCATCTACCGGTACCGTACACATGAACATGTTCATTAATTACACGAACATGCATACAGCTTTGGTGATAAGTTAGTGTTGGCTTCATTATCAATACTCAGAGGAACATGTACCCGGTACTGTTTTTCCTCGATATGATGAGTTTATGCTTGCAAATCTCATTGATGTGTGTTGTCCATTTGTTACACTCTTCTCAATTGCATACATGTATACTGTACATGTACAGATAGTACACTCTACAGTACATGTAAATGTACATGTACATGTAATAGCCTACATGTACAATGTAGATCTCCCATTTTGGTAAGCTGTTCGTTCATCTACATGTACAGATAGTACACAGTACATGTACACATGTTATAACCTACATGTAGATCGCCCATTTTGGTAAGCTGTTCGTTCATCTACATCTACATGTACATGTACAGATAGTACACAGTACATGTAATAACGTACATGTAGATCTCCCATTTTCCCATGTCATGCAAATAGAATTCTACCCTCCTTTTCTTACTCGTAGTATATCACAAACATGTTGTATTCCAATCAATTTTTCAAACCTTCCATATTCTCTGCAGATAATGCATCCACAGCACAGATTCCACACATGCCTAGAGGCTAGACTTGACATTTGGGCATTCATTCTCATATATTTGTTTGGCTGAAAATGTACATGTACATGTGAATTTACATATTCTGTGCGTCTACTGGTGTGACTTGTATGAGTACGCACATGTACATTGTATGTACATACAAAAAATCCCAGAAACAACCACTAGTTATTTACCTGGAAGAATTAAAAAAATTGTAACTCTTAATCAATTTGGAAAGAACAAGTCACTGAAAAAGCAATTCTGAGTCCCTTTAAGTGGCCCCTGGACTCCCCCATTACCTGTGAGACTCTGGTCCCATTACTAAATTGTCCTGCACAGTAAAATACAGTATAGCTGGCTATAACATGTACATGTACAGGTATACATGTACTTGCACATGTATGCATGTGCTCTGTTCTCGGCCACACAGTGAGGTGATTTTTTTTTACCATACTTGTATTTGAACAATTTGACTTTTGTGATTTTTCTGTGTGCGTTACACTTGATGTTGCGGTAAGTTTCCTGTTTGCAAATACCGGTGAATGAATGGGTTCAAGTTGCCATTAGCAACAGTGATCTAAGCACCCAAATAAAAGGGCACATCATAACAGAAGAGTACTGTAAATTATCTGAATTGTACATAATTTATGTACTGGTACCCTGTTGCATCATGTCTGTGTACTTCCGTAAGGATTGACTTCCCAATCCAATAATGACCAGACGGTCTTCAAATGTATGTACCGGTACATGTACCGGTACTCATGTACTGATGTGAATAACGGATGCACATGTACATGTACCTGTACATACACATGTACATTATGTATTTGCCCATAGGCATGTTTCTATTGGACTTTTTCTTCCGTGGGCAAGCTGAACCTTACTGCGACATTTTTTCGTTTCTATCTACCGCGCATTCCCACATGGCTTTTTTTTTTAGAACTGTGACGGAATGTGTATTTGCTGTTTTAGGCCTCATAAGACCGGCTGATTACATGTACTGGTACATTGCCTGCGCTGTACAAATCATGACAGCAAAAATCTAAACCAAAAATGACAAAATCAGACGAATTTGGCCAAATCTGCCACAAATGAGATGAACTTGTATACATGTAGGAAAAGCCTTCGGCACAATGTGTACATGTTTATCCAGGCACGCTTCACTGTGTGTGCTTGGCATGCTGCTGTACTGTACGCACAGAGCTGGAGACTGGGAACCATACAACCATTTTCGCCTGTCCGCTATCGATCTCTGTGTACTGTAGCAGTTGTCTGGTTCGTAGGTTTAGCGTGGTCGCGTTTAATCTACATTGTACAAGAACTGGTCCCATTGGACTTTTTTGTGCCCCTGCTAACTTTCTATGGCTGCACGGAAATCTTCCATGATCCTTTGCGGCCTGTTAGTTTTACATCATGATCATGGTACATGTAGGTTGACAGAGATGTTATGATAGTTTACCACATTTTCCCATTGGATTTAATTTTGTAATTTTAGAGGAAAGTTGTGGTAAGATAACCAAAAACAAGTCCAGTGGGAATACGGCTTATACCATACAGCAGGTAACGCCTTGGTAACAAAATTCACTGTTCTTACACATGTACACGTACATGTACGTGTACATGTTCAGGTACCAAGTACAGGTACTTGTATTTAATTAAATGTACCGTAGTTGGCGTGGGATTACTACAGTAGGTACTCTGGACTAGTACTTATGTACTGGTAATGGTAATATACAAGTAAGTACCGTACATGTACATACCCTGTTGATCTTCAAGTACAGTATGTGTATATGATACATGTATCAATTTCTAGCAAATTTATTGCCAATTTGCTTCATTCTCTCCTCTTAGTTGCCCACCGAGAACCTTCCTCCCTGCACTCTGTCGGATCTTCCTTGATGAGCATGCTCCAGATAATGTCTTAGAAGTCACCGCTCGTGCCATCACCTACTACCTAGATGTCTCAGCTGAATGTACCAGGCGGATTGTGGCAGTGGATGGCGCCATCAAAGCTCTGTGTAACAGGCTAGTTGTGGTAGAGTTGTCTTCTAGAACCTCCAAAGACCTTGCTGAACAATGTATCAAGGTATGATAAGGGAAGTTCTGGGATGGTGGGTGTCTCATTCTTAGTTGCAGCTAGTCATTACGTCACCGGTTACGTTACCGGTGCTTGCAATTTTGTAAGGTCAACTCAAGTCAAATACATTGTATGACAAAGCATTCCTTTGTCACGGTTCATTTCTTGTAACTGCAATATATCTGACTTTATTTGTGACCCAACTCTTTCTTCTTGGAATTCATGTCTACCGTGATTGTTTTTATAGACCAGCCCAGGAGAATGGAAATTAATAATGGACCAAATCAAAGGGGAAGGATATTATTAACATCCATTCTCCTGAGTCAGTCTTAAATGAATATTTAAGAATGGCCAAACACATACGTGTACCTGTTCTTATTTCCATGCATAAATACATACCTTTTGAGTCATACATGTAAATGTAAATAAAGTTTAGAAATAAATTTCCTATCTTTACTTAGCAATTTCACTTTCTGGCAATTTCACTTTCTGGCCCCTCTAGCCAGCCCATGTTACCAGTGTGTTGGTCTCAAGACCTGGTCTTGGTCTTGAGACGGTCTCGAGACCATTTTTTGGGGTCTGGGTCTCAGTCTTGGTCTCGTCCTATCAAAGTCTCGGTCTTGAAGTCTTGGTCTTGATCTTAAAGGAGTGGGTCTTGGTCTTACATGTACACGTAAATGCCTTGGTCCTGGACATCAAGGTCCCGGATACAACACTGCATGTTACGTTACGTGCCATTCATGAGGAGTCATAAACAATGGTTTGTAGTACAGGTACATGTGGTGAAGTGGTGAGGAACACAATGAGCCAGTAGTGGGAGACATTATCAACATCCATTCTCCTGAGCTGGTCTTAAACCTACGGTACATGTACGTTTAAGACCAGCGCATGGTCATGCGATTATCTCAAAAATATGTTGCTCATTAAAATCTACCGGTACATATGCCCCTCCTTGTGTAAAAACTGATGATATTGCCTACTAGTCAGCTAGTACATGAATTCATTAGGGTGGCTGTTATACATCATACATGTACAGGAGTATCACCCTTCATCGCTGTCAGATTTTATCCCTAAATACATTTGCCCAATAATGTCAAAAGAGGGTCTGATTTTCATTTATCGTTTGGTGTTTTAATATTGTTCAGTGAATTGTTCTTTTCCTTCATACTACTGTATGAGCCAGCTGTACACGTAGTTTTACTAGCCAAAATTTGAAAAGTCAGCCATATACAATGCGAGGTACCAGTACCTCTAGAAGGGGGGAGACAAAACGTCAGCCCATGGCATTGTAACTTTCAGGGAGGTCATGACCTAATATAGAATGTATGGGCGTTGTTACAGTATGATTGACATGCATTATATTATGATGTTGCCATCTCCACCGTGCATGAAACGTGACAGGATATCAGCAAGTTGCCAAAGTGTTCCACACTGTGTGCAGCAAGCTGAGCGTGGCACGCTGCATGATTTACATGTACATGTACATGTATGTTGTGAACTGAAATGTAAAGTGTGCTTAATTTTCATTGCAGTATTTTGGAAGTGTGGCACCTAAAGGTTTTTCTACCCATGGATGTTAATTATCTGACATGCATACTGCAATAAGGCATTTTCACGTGACCATGGTAAATGTCCGATCAAATGCTCGCAATGGCAGAACAAAATTGGCTGTGCTAGGACGTTTCATCCGACCACGTTTTGCTGTCTAATTTCCCGCACAGGTGTACATGTACATGTGTACCGGTTCATTTGAATAACTTGTACGTGCTCATCCAACTTAAGGGCAAGTTTTTCAGTGTTGCTGGATCTCTTTTCTAACCTAGACTTTCAATAGAAAGAGCTGGAATTACCGTACATTTACCAGTAAGTTTTAAAAAATAAAGCTTACTACTGGTATTGTACTTGTACATGTACACATGTGACTTCCATGGTCAGTCACCTACATTGTACATCATGTACCGGTATGCACCTGTACATATTGATTTTGTATGCCGGAAGTGTCCATGATTTGACAGTAATTAATGTCAAGTTCACAATGAACATGCACACATGTACATGTACATATATGTAGACATGTACATGTACAACCATGTTACATGTACATATGCTTGTTATCCATGCATGGATGGATGCACATGAGCTAAGGCAAGGTCATGGGAATGGTATTTCAAGTTACAACTGATTGTGCATGCACAGCGTGTGAACATACATGTACATGTACATGTACTGTACATGTACATTGTGTTGATGTACTGGTATATGTACACACACAAAGATGGCTGGCTCACAGTACACCTGCTGTTCGTAAGCAGATTGGGAATCTACATGACAGACATACTGTACATGTACATGTTCATGCATACACATTGTACAATTTTTAAAAAGTGGCTTTAATTAAATGTTTTACAATACTACATGTACATGTTGTGTATGAAATTTGCACTGTTGTGATGCTAATTTGTATACACAATGCCGTATCCATAAATTACCGACATGTACGGGTGTACATGTTCATGTACATGTTTGTGTGTATTTATACAGGTTCGGACACCACCTGTACATGTAAATACACTGTACATGCACATGTACATTGTACAATTCATGAATGGTTAAATTCATATTTTGTAGTCACCTGTCAGTTTATTGAGCTTTTTGACATCAGACCTTTTTTAGACAAACATACTGGTAGAGGTGTTTGCCACTAATTATTTCATTGATAAAATACTGAAGCACTGCACAAGAAGCTGTTTGGATTTTCCTTACTTGTACATTTGTAAATCTGCACAGTACACACGTGCATGTACGTTACTTTGCTGTTAGTTTGCTTTTTTATTCACAGAACTGCTTGGGTATTTTACTACATGATCATGTATGTGTATTGATTTCCTTTAAAATATTTATTGAATAAGGCTTTCAGAATCTACCGGTACATGTGCAGTGCTTCAAGTTTATTGTACGTACATGTACAGTAATTCAGCCCATGTTCAGCTGTACATGTACATGCACATGTATACGTGTGCTGAAATGCATGTATACGTGTACAGTCTACAGAGATCTTGGTTCCGGTACCGTAGGCCTTGAATTGCAGTGCATTTTAGGGATTGTTCAGCCTGAGTACATTATTACTCCTTTGCTTCCCCCCCCCAAAAAAAGAGAAATTTGAAACAAAAATATAAACGATGGTGAGATCTGATCTGTAATTTGGTAATCAGGTTGGCCCTTTCAGTGTTTTCAGAATGAATGGCTTTGATTAAAACCAACACCGGTATGATACATGCAGAGTATCAAAGGACATGACCAGAATTACAGCAGAAATGTGACACTTGTTTGATTAAAAGAAAAAACTAAGGCCAAATAAATATACCACTACAGTAGGAGTTTCCTGTTATGGATTTTTCTGTAAATTTGGAGTTCAAAAGTGTGACATTTTTGTGTCTCTGTTACATGTACATCTGACCTCTGTTATTTGACATTGAAATATCACCGGAATTGATTTCAAACCTTTACTCTTTGTTTGGCAGGTAATTTGCATAAATTCATCACTCTTGGAAATTAGAAAAAATGTCCTTACAAAATCATATGTCAGATGTGACAGGGACCCCTAATTTAAAGAATTACTCCTATCTAAATCAGTAGAACAGTAGGGCCTATCATTTTCTTTTCCGGTTTTGAAAAATAAAAAACTAATACGCACATGTTCATGTACATGTACTGTATGGTGCAGGTTTAGAACTGTTCCAATGGACATCAACCCTTTCACGTGTCATTGGCCATGTTTTCACTGTAAACTGCAGATCAATAGGAAAAACTAAGTGTACACATGTACTTTGGAAAAGAACCAATTACAAATGAACACCTGCTCATTCACACCTACAATGTACGGTACATGTATATGTACAAAGTACATGCACCGGTTTGATAGCTTCCCATTACATGATGTATATTGTAAATTATACAATGTATTTACTCCTACATGTAGGCATTATGATGTATAATGCGCTCATTGAGGTACACATGTACATTTCATGTACATGTAGGTACATGGACATTTACATCATGAACATGCATGTTTACATGGACATTGGCCAGGAGTGCATGATATTTGCACGTGATCAGTGCCATGATGTTGAGCATTCATCCTCTCGTGCCAAGCTACATGTATTTCTGTTATTTTGATCTCATGCCAATTGATCTCTTGCCAAAATAGAAGGCACAGTTCTACATGTACATGTGTACATCATTTACAGACAATTTTATTGGCCTTTTCCTGTCTTGCAGTGTGGCTTCATCGTAGATCTGTACTGCACAGTGTTCAGTCATAAGGTCCCTGCATCAGTCATTTGCCTAAAATTCCTCTCCATGCAGCCACATTGCTTTAAAGAGTCCATGATGTGAAGTTTATTTGCAAACTTTTTTTGCAGCTTTCTACACTGGAAACAGCAAACAGACCATCTGACATATTTTTGGTTTATTTGTCAAGTTAACTTTAAAAGAATTGAAATGGCACAACATAAATTAAGAAGTGGATTAAATGGGACCTAAAGGCACATAATTTACAATGAAAAATAAATATAACACTGTACATGTACATGCACTTCAAGATTTGCCATTTGTGGTTTTCATGGTTTCCATGGTTCGCATAAGGAAGTTACATGATGCATGTATGGTACATGTAGATGAAGAATCACAGGCACATGCATTGCAGATGTTTGGACTTTAATGATTACTATTGATATGTACATGTACATGGATAATGTATATATATTTGCTTATATTTCTTGACACATTAGAACACTGAATTGATAGTTGTTGATGAAATCGTATATACAGTACATGTACATGTATGTATGAGTGTCATGCATGTATATGTACATGTACATGAATGGAGGGTGCAATATACATGTACATTGTACATGTACAATGTACTATCACTACATGTGCATGTAGTGATAGACGAGACGAGATAAAGATCAAACTGTATTCCAGTTATACATGTAATTTACGGTAGACTTTTTATGCACATGTACATGTTCCCACACGTGTACATGTTCCAGAACCGGTGCATAAACAATTCCACATACATGTATATGAATTCAATGTCTTGATAATGTACATGTACATAGAAAATGTACATGTATGTACAATGTACATGTATGTACAATGTACATGTATGGTACCAGTATTACACCTGTACATGTATGTACAATGTACATGTATGGTACCAGTATTACACCTGTACATGTACAGTATGTACAATGTCCATGTATGGTACCAGTATTACATCTGTACATGTATGTACAATGTCCATGTATGGTACCGGTATTACACCTGTACATGTATGTACAATGTCCATGTATGTACAATGTCCATGTATGGTACCAGTATTACACCTGTACATGTATGTACAATGTCCATGTATGGTACCAGTATTACACCTGTACATGTACTGTTTTCTCCCTTTATGTTTCCCATCATTACGCATACATGTACACACAATAGATCCTGAACACTGCTGAAAGTGAAAGTTGACCCCTGGTGGCGTGCTTCCGGAACCCTTGGATAGGAAAAATAACATGCAAAGATTTTAGGATTTGTAATATCTTTTCGTTCAGTTATTTCTTAAAAATACAACTTGGAAAAAGGGCTTTGGAAAACATTTGCTAGAATATCAATTTACAGAAACTGAAAAATCACCTGATCTACATGTAAAAGAGAAATATCCTGCCAAAAATTGACCCATCACTTCCGAAAATCTAAAATACATGAAGAGCAATCCAATGCAGTGGTCTCGTACGCGGATGAACATTTACGGTTTGAAATTTTATGGTAGTCTGTCGGTAAAAGCTGAAATAAAACAGATCCAAATATTTGATACAGTTTCAATTTATAAGGTACAAATGTAATTAACTTAAAGCATTAATCTACTTTACGAAAGATTCTAATATTTATGTAACCTTTGCTGACAACAACTTTGTTATTTTCAAATCAGCGGAACATGGAACCCATCCACTACAAGTAGGTACAAGTAAATGTTTGCAACGTTTTAGAGTCTCGTTTTCACGTAAGCACAGGGAGTGAAAACAAATGTGCATGAACAAGGAGACCTAGGTACAATATCGCCGGATGTGAAAGGTCGTTGATGAAATTCATTTTTTACCCATCTCCAGGTGACTTTTCCTAGATATTAGTAGGTAAAATTCCAACATGTGTTTCATGGGATGGCATCAGCATTTCAAAAAATTATCGAACGTGGTAGGACTGCCCAATGTAAAATCCCCGTAGGCTGACCGCACGAGGGTTCCGGAAGCTCGCTACATGACCTTTTACTTTCAGGCTCTGTTTGTATGTACCAGTAGGTTTGAAGGGCTACATGTACGTTACACATCTACGCGTTCATTAGATTGAGGTTATAATGTTACTCGGATAAATTTGAGTTACAGTACATGTAGCTTCTTTGACTTTTGAACAGTGTACCGGCCATGCTGACGTACATAATAATGGAAAGTACATGTAGGGTACACCTACTTGCATTATACATGTAGATGTAATTAATTGTGCCTTCTGTGAAGTCAAACAAATGGAAGCAAATTGTGTACATAATGTATACATGTACATTGTACATGTGCAGCATACACCTACAGTACATACAAGTACCAGTATCTTTTACTGCTAATGTACATGTATACATTGTACCTGTCCTGTACATGCTGTATGTATGCACGGTTGCCCTTCATGATGAAATCCTCTGAGTACACATGTACCTATGTACATGTACCTTTGATGTTCCACTTTCAGTTGGGTTAATGTGCCATCTGCAGTTTCAGATCTAGATGACTATTAACACTATCTGCAGAGTGAGTTCACAATTTGCATACATGCATGCACATACATGTACATGTACATACTGGTACATGTACATGTGCGTACCGGTATGTACATGTTCGGTAGTATATAAAGTCATTAACAAAATGTTTATGCACATGTGTATTTGTTAACATGACAGAAACCTCCCACTTTTGATGAGATTAGTGTAGATTATGCATCATGCATTGAAAGGCTGTGCTTACGAACTTACCCCAGTACTTATACATATACTGTACATAAAAAAGACTGAGATACATGTACCTAAGAGAACTCAACATTGTAACATTTTCCATGTAAAATTGAGTATGACCTCACCCTATGAACTGTTTCCATAATTACATGCATGCATGTACGTGCACATGCACATTCAAAGTTCAGTGCGTAAATAAAATTTACATAAAGTTGATTTGATCTGTAGTAAAGATTGCGGTAACACCATGTATTTATCTCTTCTTTGAAACGTCAAGTTATTCCCCGGTTCTTCTCAGNAAGTTGATTTGAGTTGATATGTACAATGTAAGTACATGTACCTTTTTAAATGTCTCTAAAACTGGTCCTGAATCAACCTGTGTCAACTGAGGATTGCGAGGGAGGCGAAGTGGGACATGGTTCCGACACTTCTTTCCGTGGATGGAGACCATAATTTATTTTTAACAAAATACAAACAAAGAAAGGTCACAGAGATAACCTGATAACAAAAACTTTATAAGATAGCATTGTACAACCATATTACATGAACCCAATTGCACAAAATTTGAAATAAATTATGCAAAAGTGATTTTTAAAAATAAACACAATCAGATTTGAAAGAAAATACGCCCACAGTCTTTCCCATTTAAAAACCACTTTTCCAGTTTATCCAAACAAACAAAATAAGTGTCATGTGTATTAAGACCCGATAAAAACATTGGTAATATTTTGAAGTTTTTGTGGATATTCTGCACAAGAAGCATTTGTCCGTAGTAGTGCAAGGATACGTACATTGATATACATGTACATGTACGTGCACATGTGCACACAGAAATCATGGCCGACCATCAATTGACAGAGAGCCAAAGCTGAAATTGATAAAACTAACGAAGGACAATTCACAATAGCTTAAACATAACATGGGGTATCCTTTTTGAAACACTATTTCAGTTACCAAGATATATAACATGTGTGGAAGGACCAGAGAAAAATTCAAAAGTTTTATTTAAAAATACCCTTTTTACGTTCGCAATGTAACATACACAGACATCTTTCATGATTTTCTCCAAAATGTCACTTCTGATTAACAAGAAACACATCACAAAATGAAATCTGAAGCCTGATCATATTTCTCTGTTATAAATTCAGAAAAATCTTACACAATGCAGAAGATCTTCGTAGATAGATTTTGGTATATGTACATGTACATGTAGTTGTTCTCTGGTAGGCATCGCCATTTTAACAAGCAATTTAGCAAGTAACTGTGACTTTGTTGAATTTTAGTGCATGCGCACAAACTACATGTAACGGTAAGTGGAAGGGGTGAACATACGTGTCATGATTGGGACTCCCCGGGACTTCCCATTACGTCATGAGCATAAATTACCATAATGCTCAGTAATGTTCAAGATCGACTGCAAACTCGCCAACCTGGATGCTGGGCATCGACAAAAACGAAGCCTTTGAACCGGAAGCGTACATGTACATGTACGTTCCGTACGGATGTGTTTTACAATTATCATTTACAATGTGATCATTTCATTACACTGATGCTAAAATGTTTTATATTCAACAGAAATTTGACTAAAAGTGTGTTTTATGTTTCTAATGTCCTCCAACCAAATCAAATTTTAAACACAAACTCTTCGATTTCTGTGCTGGTCGGATTGTGGAAATTTACTGTCAGCCAGCTGGAATGCTGGTCACATGCGGCCAGCGACAACCCTAATGTACATGCACCAGTATAATCACAGAATCTGCTCTTCTAATGTTACTAATTTACAAGTAAATTTCAGGGTACCGCACCTTAGTCAACAAGCATGCTACATGTGATTTTTTTTTATTTTACACTTATAAATTTGAAGGGGGAACAGTTAAATCTAGACACTTGAAAGTTGCTAACGATGAGTAATGTGAAGCGGGCCAGTGACATCCGTTTATATAAATACAAATAGGATTATGGAAATGGGAGGAAAAAAATAGAGTCCAACCATGATTTCATCTACTAATTAGAGGACTCTGCCTTCCTCTAACCTTCAAAATCTTCCCAATTGTATTACTTGAAAGGATTTGAGAGGGTTAAGTTGAATCCATTATCTTCTCTTATTCCCTACACAGGTTCTAGAGTTGATGTGTACTCGTGAGTCAGGATCCATCTTTGAGGCTGGTGGTCTACATTGCGTGCTGTCCTTTATTCGTGATAATGGTAGTCAGGTCCACAAAGACACATTACATTCAGCCATGGCTGTGGTATCCCGACTTTGTGGCAAGATGGAACCTAGTGATTCCTCTTTGGAAACTTGTGTGGAATCACTGTCCACACTCCTCAAACATGAGGATCCTCATGTAAGTTAGAGTCAACTTTTTACAACAGCTCTCCTTTTCTCTGCATTTCCTTTCTCTTACATGTATATCCTCTTCACGTTTCAATCCTGAGGTGAATTTCTTCAACAATCAAGGCTTCACATTATAAAAATACTGGTAAAATGGCTTTCACAAGCATGCAACTTTTACTTAGATCAGCTGATTTCCTCGTTTTTCACTTCACACCCTGCTATTGAAAATTGAAAAACACTGTAAAAAGTCTTGTAAAGATTGGAATTTCCTTGTGTGGACTTGGGCATGCGTGAGGGATATTGACAGCTACATGTATTTTGGCCAGAAATAATGGTTGTCTTAAAGTAAAGCAGTGAGTGAGCCAAAACAACACATTATATACATGTACATGTAAGCCACTGTATCCATTACCCATCTGTTAGGGATACATGTATGTCAGTTGAATTTAAATTCTAGATTTGCTATGATAGAAAAATATTTGTCCATGAATTCCACATGATGTAGAAAAGAAAAACTACAATCTGTAAGATGAGCAGTGCCCTTAGAACAACAAATTAACAAGATTTTACTTCAAACAACTGCTTTATTTTTCTCTCTGCAGGTTGCTGATGGGTCCCTGCGCTGTTTTGCATCATTAGCTGATCGTTTCACTCGGAGGGGTGTAGACCCCCTCCCACTGGCCAAACATGGCCTATCACGGGAGTTGTTAGAAAGACTGGCTAATTGTGGCTTGACTGCTGCCATGGCAACAGGTACCAAGGCAGCGGGTGCCACAGGAACCACTCCTGACTCTAAGGGTAACCCTAACATCTCAACTGTCATCAGCTTGCTCTCCACATTATGCCGAGGCTCTCCCAGTGTTACACATGTGAGATACTGATATCATTCTTTGAAATTTCAGATTCTAGTTTTCATGGAAAGTGAAAACAGGTAGTGATGTACTCCGAGATAAAATTACACTTCTTGTTGTGCTACTTTATCTACTGAAATTTGATTCTTTGCTTTGGAAAAGGATAGAATAAATGGAGTGCATTACATGCATATGCAAAAATCCACAGATGAACTCAGGAACAGGTCATCCTCCCATGCAAATCTTTGTCCTTATTTAGAGTAGATACAGGTGCTCTAGAATTCTGGCAGTACCCTTGGATGTGCATCAGAAATTTTATTGAATATTGTTTCTAATACAACAAGGGGGCTTCATGTACCTGTACATTCATATTGAATGCTACCATCAAATCCATCGGCTACCAGTACCACATTGAGTTGTTGGCATGTAACATTGTACACTTTATAAAAAACTCTGCACCGATCTAAAACTGGTCTTTCATTTACAATTACCTTATCTGTATGCACCTGGCCAACTCACCAAGTTTTCCCCACTAAATCTTTAGCATTTAAAGGAAGTTTTGATTTCCCCCATTTCTGGACAGGATTTACTACGATCTGCGCTACCTGGTGCTATAGAGAAGGCGCTGCAAGGCGATGAGAGGTAATGTGAAGTGCCTGTCTTGAGGATTTGGGAATCCTGAAAATACATGTATATTCAATGGTCATGCACGTATACAAGTAACTATTTGAATTGATTATTATTGGATACCAATTCTAATGCGCCATAGAAAACAAATTTCAAATTTGTTTAAATTATCAGTTATTACATTGCACTTCCATTGGTATAATAAAGAACTATCATTTTTATCATAAGAAGAAACTTACAGCCTTGCATTTTCTTGCAGTAACATCCCACCTCAAACGTGAAAATATCACATAAAGCTGGTTTTGTTGTGGGGAAGACAAGACATTTGTTCTGTTACTCTGTAGTTGAGTACTCAGAAATTTATCTCTCTGTCATTTCCTGCATTTGATTCAAGGAAGTTTAAAAGCAAGTGTTGCACAGTAAATGGAGCTTGAAAGCAGAAATTCTAAATAGTACTCAAACCTTGACCAGAGAGGAAAGGAACATTCCCCTGAATATCCACCAGTCTATTTCAAATTTAAAAGCAAAGCATGAAACCTGTTCATGTGAAACTAAAATAATGCCCTTGAAGCCTGAACTATCGTGTTGTTGACCAGGATGTTACATGTGCATAAGTACACTTGCTTGTGTGAATGATTTCATTGATCATTTTAAAGTTATGTTGTTTTCCTTGTGCAAATATTCTAATTATAAACAATAATACCAAGCAGTATTTGTGAATTAATTCCGTAAGTTTTGAATTTATGGAATACACACAAACCATTACACTGCCTGCTTGAATTTGGATTTGGTGCTTGTAATTAGGTGTTGCACCCTATTTCGATAAGGTGCAAAGCAGCTACACCTATCCAAGAAACCTGAGCCCACAGCTATTGAGAAGACCAGATGGACACCTGCTCACCCAATACTTAAATGAGTCTTAGTGCTAAGTAATAGAAGGTAGTTAACTGTACAGTAGGAAATTACAATTCCATGTTGTTTGTTGTTGTACAAAAGAGATATGAAGTCTCAAGTTCCAATCTAGCTGTTATAGTTGTTCAAATTTGGCATGCTTTATTTAGCTGACGGTCAGTAAACACATGAAAAATGTTGTTTCCCCAAGGTGTGTATTGGACACTATGCGTCTGGTGGATCTTCTTTTGGTGTTGTTGTTTGAGGGGCGTACTGCTCTACCCAAGTCTAACATTGGTACAACTGCTCGTACAATGAGTGGTTTGCGACGCCTAGATAGTGCCGGTGAACGATCACATCGTCATTTGATTGACTGCATACGTAGCAAAGACACAGATGCTCTGATAGATGCCATAGACACAGGAGGTAGGGGAATGCTCATTATGTTAATGAGCGAAATACATTCAGTAACATGTATTCTTGAAGTCAGTGGTCCAAAACTTGACAGTAAACCATTTAGTAGATTGATATTGGAGATCAGAAGCTGTGCCCGAAAACTACATAGGGTATGAAATTCTGTTTTCACTTTTGTTGTGAGTACATTTAGGGGTCATCCATTTTTGTCATTTTCACAAGTGTGGAAATTTGTCCTGGCCCCCTCCCCCTGTAAGAGTACAAAATGAAATGCTGATTTCTCTTTGGTGTCTGAGGACCCATTCTAACTCACAATGTACAGCTGTTAATGTGCAGTAGACGACCAGAGAATAGTGGCAGGAGGAAAAACAATGTCCATGACAGGCCTTGACATTCGCGGTTTCCCAAGTGCCCGGGACAAATTCTTCTTTCAGTTCGGGCAAGTAATAATTAAGGACAAATTGCCCCATGAACAGGTACCTTTTTCTTAAAATAAAAGTGTCCATTTTTTGTGGCCAAGAATAGCAGTCAGAACATGTGCCTTTGATTTGATCTCCTCTTCACAAAAGCTTAAAAAAGTGGTAAAAAGTATACAGTTACAATGATTTTTTGCATCGTTCCCATACAAGGGAAAATGCATACATAAATAAACTGTAATGTACACTTGTGTCTGGGTACCAAACCTCATAGCACGCACGGTGTAGCGGAGCTTTGGGGGGGATGCTCTAACACTGTGACTGTGACTTCAACGTTAGTGAATTTTTCCTGGTACTTGTGTATGTACCTTTTATGTATGACACCAGGCAAAATCATCATTGCCCAAACTTGTTTGAATGATGCATCCGAGTCCTGCGCACACGCAATAGTTGGGGGTCATAGTTAGCTGGTCTATCATAATCGTCATTTTTAACATGTTTCTAAAAGCGTACGTAACCAATTCACCCCCTCCCCCCAGCGTACGCTTTGTACTCTCATGGAAATGACAACAAATGATGGATGATCCCTTATATGCATGAGCAGTCTGCAGTCTGTGTAAACATCATGTGAAATTGTTTTGTAATCTAATTGATTGGTACCTGGTATCATTAATCTTGGAAGTGTTCCTTGTCAAATTTAAACCTTAAAGGAACCAGGAAATTTTTTTATAAATTTTACTAAAAACCCTTGAAATTGCATCTTTGGGTTTCAATTAACCTGATTTTAAATTTTGGTTTTGCAATTTTAACCTGTATTTTGATGCTTTTTTGGTTTTTATGCTAATGCTATTTACATATTCAAGAGCAGAACTATGATGTCATCCAAAGCACTGAATCTCAATGTTGCATTGATTTGTGCACAGAAAGTTTCTAGATTTTTTAACCACTGTTATGGCAGATTTTATTTTCTTTGACAATTTATTGCTATGTAAGTATACGGCAATAATCCAGCAAAAATCCTTTTCACAGAAATGTTCCCAGATAGCAAATTTGGGGTTCACAATTTGAACATGAAAACATGCAACCTGAACCATGTCTTCCTGGAATTACATCATCGCAAAAGTGCCCTCACTTGTCCAGAAATGCTTGGTTAATTTTTAATGTTTGAAAAAGTACACCGTTCAGTTCACGTAACTCAAAAAAGATGTCAAACAGTCTTCATACATGTCAGCAGAGTACAGAGATACACAAACTGTGATGCTAAGAAAAATTCGTTTCCTGGATCCTTTAATAACGAGGCTGGTGTACCAGATGAGAGTCTCAATAATCGATCCTTGTGATTTCAAATGAATTTGTGTTTACTTTTTACAGTTGAAGTCAATTATATGGATGATGTGGGCCAAACACTCCTCAACTGGGCCTCTGCATTTGGAACTCAGGAAATGGTGAATATTTCATAGCTTTTACCCTAACATCCTACATATTGTTCAAGAATCAGGTATTACTAGTCGCTAATCAGTCTCCATCATGTCACATGTCTGGTCAGGAGTTACCCTAAAATCCTACATATTGTTCAAGAAACAGGTATTACTGGTCGTTAATCAGTC